CGGGAGCGGCGGCGGGGTCGGTTGGCCGCTGACGGAGTACACCGTGGCCGAGAAGCTTGACTGCTTCCGGTGAGGGATAAATATGGGGTGGGGTGGGGGTGGGGGTGGGGGTGGGGGTGGGGGTGGAGGGCGTACTCTTATGTTCTGTATGCCTTAGCGGTTAGACCGTTGACCACGCATCCTCGAGAGGACGGAGCATTGTTCCCACAGGACCGATCACCGATGGCCAATCGTTCCTTCCTACTTTGCCAAAGGTGGCTCAAAAATGTCTTCCCTAGTCTGTCTATCCTAACGATATCCCTTCCCGCCTTTTCAAACCACTTCCTACTCCCCAGTACAGCTACCGTCCTCTCCTCTCTATTCCATGCCTCAAACATCTCCCTGTTCCTCCCTTGTATTTTTCCCAGCTCAGTCATGTACGCTTCCCTCTCCTTATTGTACAGCCGACATTCCGCGACTACATGAACACAGCAGTCTTCGCATTCGAAGCCGCAATCACATTTGAACTTGTCGTCTTCGTCGTCTACCGTCCTATGTCTTCGTCGACGTTCGCGAAGGCCTATGTCCCCGGTCCTGAATTTGACCTTAAGCTTTGTTCCTGCATCCATTTGTCCATGTAGGTAATCCTTGAACCCTATTCCTTCTTTCAACATTCCGTACACTTCTAGACCCTCCTTATCCTCGGTTTCTTTCCTTAGATTATGTTCTTCTCTCTCGGCACAAGCAACAGATAACTTCTTCTTGAACCCCTGTATACCCTCCGTTTCCAGCGTTTCATCTTCGTCGATGTCTAACCCCTTCCATACGTCCTCTACAACCTTGACCCATTCCGTGGGTTGTCTACCCCTCGTTTTGTTTGCCGACTTCGCCTCCCATACTATTCTCGGCAACCTCTCCTCTCCCATCCCGCACATGCGATACTGCCATGCCAGCTTCCTTGCGTCTCTTCCCGACCGTAGGGATTGGATCCCCAATTCTGCCCCGACGGCTGCATTACTTGTGCGCTTGGAGCATCCTAGAATGATTTTCGCTGCTTTCACTACTCTTGCGGCGGTACGATTACGCTCTTCAAAACCGTCAATTTGATGCGTGTATCGAGGTGCCGGTTTGCGAGTATTGGGTGCAGCTTCCCTGCTCGTGCTTTGCCCTTTTCCGCTACCTTGGACATGTGTGCATTCCACGAGCAGTCTTTGGCGATCTCTACTCCGAAGAATGTGTACTGGTCCACTTCTGCAATCTCCTCGATCCCCCACTTCCATCTATGTTCTACTGGTTCCTTCCTGTCCTTGTTGCATACCATGACGGCACACTCTTCTTAACGTTGGCAGACAATCTCCACTTATCAGTAAGCTTCTTCGCCGCGTCAATTTGCAGGTGCAGTCCCTCAGGGGTGTCCGACATACCAACAAAATCATCGACATACCAACAAAATCATCCACAAACAGCATTCCTGACACCGAAGTTTCCGTGTCCCCTACTTTTACTCCCTTCCGGACTGCCTCTACGACTTCCAACAGATCGCTGATGAACACCTGGAACAATGTTGGGGACAGCGTGCAACCTTGTGGTACCCCCCGCTCAATGTCGAAGAATTTAGACAGTTCTCCGTCTAGCATGACCGCGCTTTTCGTACACTCTGCCATCTTCTTCAGCACTCTCCACATTTTCCCCTTGATCCCGTACTTGGACAATTGTTTCCACAGCCCATTTCTCCATACGGTATCGTATGCCTTTTTCACGTCCAGGAAGAAGCAGTACGTCGGCTTTCCCGCCCTCTTTCTACCTTGGATGATTCTCCCTACCGTGAATGCGTGGTCTACGCACCCCCTCTTCTGTCGGAAACCTGCCTGGCCCTCACTAATGCTACGTTCCTTCTCCAATACTCCCACTATCCTATCGTTCAGCAGCTTACAAAACACGTTTCCTGCTGTGCTCAACAGTGTGATATCCGTGTAGTTTCCTGGGTCAGTCTTGTCTCCTTTTTTAAACAAGTTCACGACCACTCCTTCCCTTCATCTACTTGGCGCATACTCGTTTTTCCACACCCAGTTGTACAGCAGTACCATCAGCTGGATCATCCCCTTCCCCCCAAACTTCATGAACTCGTTGACTATCCCATCCGCCCCTGCTGCTTTGTGGCACTGCAGCTTGTTCACACATGCCTCAACCTCGTCCTTAGTGAACTCCTTGTCTAGTTCTACGTTCCCAACGTCTGCCTTCGATGTCTCTTCTTTTTTCTGGGCCCATGCGTCCACCTCCTTCTTATAACACTTGGTCAAAATCTTCATTCTCCGAAGGCACTCCAAGTCTCTTGCAGTGTCATGCTAGAACTTCCCTTTTCCCTTCCCATTGCTGACTTGTCCACCGTGTTCACCTCGCAAAGTTGCTACCCCTGTATCCCCCCCTTGCGCGGTCTTTTTTACCATCCCACTATTACTTTCCACCGGAACACTTTCCTCTGTTTCTTACTCTCCATCTTTTTAGATCGGTCGATGTTTGCCCATATGAGGAAGTGGTCGGTCGAACCTATATCTATCGCACTTACGTGCAAAATTCGCCTGCTGTATCTGCGGAAAGAGCTTGATTGACGCTGCTTTAGGTCGAACGATGTGGCGGTCGTTCGAAAATGAATCTTGGCTGCGACCTGTTTTCGGGTTGTCTCTGTCGGTCTGAGTTTTCCGCGAACATGCCGAGACGGTTGTGTGCCCTCTGCCGGTAGCACGCAGTGAGGGCTGGTCGGCGATGGAGGCCTGATTGCCGAGCCGAACGAGGAGATGTTGAGCCTGCTTTTCTCCCCTTCTGAACTGGCTGGTCTCGTTGATCTTACTGAAGTCCTCGAGCCTGGTCTTGAACACGGCGTTGTCGACGCCGACATGTGTTTGATTTTGATGCCTGAGTTGAGGGAACGCTGTTGGTGAGATGGTGGTGTGTGCTTTGCACCCTTTGTCGACATGGCGTTGCGCGCTCTGCTTTATTTTGCCTGTGGCTGACTGTTAGCTACAGCAATTGATACAAGAGAGGTCGGCCGAGTTAACCGGACCCAAGAAGCATCACCGCTTCCCGAACGGTAGAGATGGTGCTTGGGCATTCGCTTCCTTTCTAGAAATTGGCTCTGTTTTTTTATTTGCGTTTTGGCTTGCTGGCTGGTTGTAGATGGCTGCTTCCAGAGGGGCAATCCATTCATCAAAGTCTGGATATCTCGAATGGCGCCCACCTCTTTTTATTTGTGCCCGAAGGCTTTTCGACAAGAGGCGCGAAAAACGCGGGCGTTTTGGGTCTACTCTATAAAGCCGTTGCCTCTATTTTGTCCCGGAGATCATGCGAGATGGGTTCAACGCGATTGCCAATAGCGTTGATGCAAAATGCACAGTTCATGTCGGAGTTTCTGTCTAATTACTTCACCTGGTGTCACATGGCAGTCTCATACGCCGGTTTCCTCTTCTTGTTGAATCCCCTCCCCTCCACAGCAAAGAACAGGCAGGGTACGTTAGTCTGAGTTTCGAGACGATCTCGGGGTACGGCCCCAACGGCGCGGTGATTCACTACGCCGCACAGAAGGAGACCGCGCGGGATCTTGGGACGGACAGCCTGTTTTTGCTGGTGCGCGCTGTCGTAGTCGTTTTCTGTTCCCGTTTTTGGTTTCCGCTGTGTTGTTCGTTTCGTCTCTCCCTTTCTCTGTCTCCGTCTCTGCCTGCCTTTCTCTCTCTCTCTATCTCTCTCTTTCCCTACCCCTCTCTCTCTCTTGGTGCATCTAGTTGAAATCGTGTTATTGTTATTTGTTGTTTGCGGGTTGTTTTTCTGTTGTGTTTTTGTGTGACCGAGGAACAAACAGGGTACACGTAGATAGCTTGTTTTCTTGGTCCTACCCCGCTCCCTTTACGTGTTTCTTTTACAAGCGTCTAACTTACGGGCTTCGAGCGAAGGATACTGCATCGTGCAATAGAGCAACACTTGGGGTTTCATCCGATTCATACCTCGTTCTAGTTACAAGTAGTAGCTGTTATTTATTTTTTTCAATCGACAATGGCCACTACTACGTGGACAACAGCGCAACACGCCGGTAGCAAAACCACGTTTATTTTGCTTGTCCCACCCCCGATTTCCCCTGATGGAATGTGCTACGGTGTATGGCAATACTGCGTGGGCTACATACGACCATTCACCCATTCATGCGGATGAGTACCCCCGTTCCCTCCCCTCGATGCTCCTTGGTCTCGGGGACGCGTGCCCAATGGTCTTAACGCGTACGGCATACAAAACAGTGAGACCCCCCCCCCCCCACCCCCCTCCGACGCCCTTCCTGCGACACGTTCGTAGGACTCCGGAGCCCAGTACACCGACGGCACGACAGACGTGACAAGAACGGTGCACTTTGGCAGTCCTACCGAGCACCAACGGCGTTGCTTCACCCTTGTCCTGAAGGTGATCCTTGTGCTGAAACTGAGGGAGGAAGAAGGCTGTCGTGATGTAGTTCATTGTTGCCGTTTTGTGAGTCAAATCAGCTTTCAAAACTAGTGATAACTGGTAGATACCTTGTTTTCTGCCGATGCTTGGACGGCTGTCGTAGCGTGCGAGCCTTACACCGCGCGTGTTGACAAAGAGAACGAACGCACCTGTTACGACCTCTCAACACGTTGGCCCAAACTGCCGAAAATATATATTCCTGCGCGATTGCACTCTACGAAGGCGTCTCCTCCCCGAGTCTGCTACAGAGAGAATCGCCGCCCACTCCTTTTAGGGTTAATGATTCTTCAGTCATTGACACGACGCCCCCCCCACACGGTCCTGACCTGCCGCCCGGCTGTGATCGCGCATGATGTTGCCGCTCGCATCGTTGGTTGGTTCCACGCACACGCGTCTTGTACTGGTGGCCGGTGAGGCAGGGTCACATCGCCCTGGCCCGAGCGGTGTTCCCGGAAGATACCATGGGAAGCAAGCTCGACGTGCTGGCGAGACTTGCTTTGTGGGAAGCGGGTCTGGATTACCGGCACGGGACGGGCCACGGTACGGTTTTGTTGATGTGTGTGTGCGTTGTAATAGTTTTTTTTTTTTGGCGACGACGGCCCTAGTCGGCTGACCAATGGCATTGCGTCATTTGAAATCAGGAAATGTTAGACAATGGTTAACGCAGAAGGTTACCCAGTCAGCTCTGCCTTTTGGGTTAGTCTCTATGTTGAGTGAGTAGTCTGATAGGTTAGCCATTGTCTACATGTAGCAAGGACAAACGAGACCCGCAGAACACGGCGTTTGTCCGCGGCTTTCCGCGATACAGAGACCTCCGGGGGACCCCGAATAGAACGGGCTCAGCCTCTGGATCTAGGTCGCCTTTATTAAGTCTGTACTCGTATCTTGTTTTAAATAGCATCGACGCGTCATCCTGCTGCGAGAGTTGGCCGAGCACGTGTGCTACCCACCCGCTAGCGTCCATGGGTCTGTCTGTCTGTGCCAGAGAAGACTTGAACGGGGAGCAGCAGAGATGGAGTATTCTTTGGGGACGCGCCCCGAGCAAAACACAAGGCTGGCGGGCGGCGAGAGAGTAGTGGTCCCCTCTCTTTTTCTTTTCCTTACCTAGGATGGCCACGACAAACCAAACCGCTTATGACGTTGTGCGGACTGTGTGTAATAGCACCCCCTAAGCTGATCGGTCGTTTGTCCGTGCGCGACATCATCGGACCGGCCGCACCAGCCGTCGTAAGCACCTCCCGCACAAACCCACCTTCAACCGCCACCCTTCTCCCCCTTGCCGATCCCCTTCGTGCCCCCCCCCCCGCCCTCCCCCACCTTACCGCGCCTAGCGCGCGCGCCCCCACCGGGAGCCAAAAATGGAAGTCGTAGTGGGAACGGTGTAGGAATGTATCGTACGGTCTTGAACGAAATTTTCTGTGTGCCACATCCGGGTGGCGTGATCATCTTGGATACCATTTCACGTCTCTCATTCGTGTTCTTGTTGTTGTTACTTCGACAATGTTGCCGCTCTTGCTGATGGCCAACCAACAGGGGTTGGGGCGTTCTTGAATGTGCACGAGGGGCCGCACGGGATCCACTGCCGAATACGGCCTGACGAGCAGGGGATAAAGGTGAGTTAGCGGCGAGTTAGCGTTTGGAGAGTTCGTGCTCAGGTTTCACCAAGTCTTGGTGCTGCTGCTGCTGCTGTTTGATGGTGTCAACGTGCTACTTGGTTTGTTTTATCATTCACCAGATCGGCATGACGACGTCGAACGAGCCAGGATACTATGAGGACGGCGCGTTCGGCCTTAGAATCGAAAAGTGAGTGCCCCCCCCCCCCCCCCCCCCCCCCAACCGGATGGCGAACCCCCGGGGGGCCCCCCCCGGGGTTCGTAGGATCCCCCGAAAACCCCGCTTAAAACCCCTTCGCCTGGACGGTGGGGGGGCAAGGTTTCTGGCCCCCGACCTACCGCTGTCTTTTATCCCATTCTCCCCCCCCGGCCCCCC